AACGCATTTTATGGACGACAGTTTTTTGAACCTAGAAGAGTACAAGGCTGGCTGTGCACAAAGGCTATTTCTAAAAAAAAAAAAGGCTAAATTCTGACTTTGCTATGACAATCTGACACTTCTGAATCATCTACTGTAAGTATGTTTTGTTATTAGTTTAAGTATTTGCTATTGACTGTTCAAATGCGGAGTTTTGCGCATCGTGTCAACAATACTAGAATACTACAACATAGAATGCCACAATAAAATACTATAATATACATATATATAGTAAAAATAAATATTGTTAAATATTAATCAGTGAAGAGAGACTTCTAATTATTATAACTCATAATGTTAATAATTATTGTTCACTAATATTCATTTTTAATATCACAGTAATAGTAGAATACTAGAGTATAATACAATTGTTTTAATTATGACTATGAAAGAAATGATCGTATTGATTTAATCAACAGAGTCATCAATTTTAATTATTATAATCAATAATGTTAATAATAGTAGTAATTCATATGTATATTTCATATTCAAATAATATTAGGATACTACAATATAATATTGTAGTATTGTATAATAAGAAGTCATAAAAATTCAATCACAAACCAGTGGAGAAAAATTAAATTTAAATTATTAAAATGAATGCTAGTCATTAGTAATTAAAATGAATAATTAATATTCGTATTACAATAATATCGTAATACTACAATATATTACAAATAATATAATTTACAATAATAATAATTATTATAACTTGAAAGAAATAATATTGATTGATCAATAAATTCATCAATTTTAATTATTATATACAATAATGTTAATAATAGTAGTAATTCATATATAGCATTAATTAATATTTATATTTCATATTACAATAATATTAGGATATTACAATATAATATTGTAATATTGTATAATTAGAAGTAATAAAAATTAAATCATAAAGCAGTGGAGAAAAATGACATTTAAATTATTAAAATGAATGCTAGTCATTAGTAATTATTAGTAATTAATATTAGTAATTAATAATTGAATAATATTCATATTTAACATTACAAATATCAGAATACTACAATATATTAAAAATAATATAATTTACAATAATAATAATAATAATAATCAACAAAGACTAAATATTCATTCTTATAATTAATAATGTTAATAATAATTATTAATAGTACAGATTGATTAGTATTAATATTTATATTAAATATTACATTATTATTAGATTACTACAATATATAATATTTGAATATTGTATGATTAATTATTTTATTACATAAAAATTAAATTATTAATCAGTGGAGAAAGACTACATTTATTTAATTTGTATTTAATAGCACAATAATATTAAAATACTACAATATAATATTATAATGAATAATATTTACTATACTATTTTTATACTATTATTATTATTATTATACTAATAATATTTATATTTATTATACTAACTACATTTTAAATGCATATACTGTATGTTAAAAGTGAATCATCTCTGATTAATTCAAGTTAATCAACTCTGCGTGCTTCTCTAAAGCTGCAATATTATCAGGGACATTACATTTCAGTCGTTTCACCTTCAGTATGCAGTGATGTGGAGTGGGAGTTTGGACCAATCAAATGTCACTGTGGGAGGGGCTACAGAAATATGAAGCTGCTGAGCATTTACCCATAGTGGCTAGAGAGGGTGGACAGGGCCAGTACTCTGTCTCTATCTTTGAAGGTTGGTTGGGATCAGGCGGCTGGGCTGCTGGGAACTTGGAGGACTCAATGATCACATCATGTTTACTATGAGACGTTCCCGTCTGTCCGTCTGAGGACAGAGACAAGATAAACAGCATAATGTGACCAGTTCATCTTTCAGTACACCCTGGAAAACCAAGAGTGAGGTGAAGCTCACTAACTAGAAAACTATATGTATGAAATAATACAAGAACAAATACCGTGTTTGTAAATTGGTGGCTTCTTATAGATGTTGGTGCCACTGTCTGAAACACAAAGGTACAGTTACAGCTCACACACGTTGGAATGATTCTGAAAGGTGTCGCTGTGCTGTGATTGAAGTACCCGGCCTGTGGAAGTGCTGCACGGGGCTGATTTTGCGGAGCTGCACTGTGGAGCCTCCTGGGGAGCCCTGCTCTGACCACTCCTTTGACTCTTTTGAAGCAAATATCTGAAAGAACAGGGGAACTGCATAAACCTTCTATTATTCTGGAATGCTAATAATGAAGCACTTGAATATGGTGACGTACATTCCTGTTTCAATCCTGATCATAAGAGTGGGCATAATTTAAACACTCAGCATGTTAACAGAAGCCAGGCCATCATATTTCACTGCCTGCATCAATAATATGACATGCCTTACTGTAAAATATGCTAAGAGTGGTCAGCAGCATAGAATGGCATTTGATTCCACTGTTCAGTGTTCTAGTTAGTTTAAATATAGTTAATTATGAATGTGCAATAATATAATTCTGTCTGATACAGATATGCTGTAACAGTATGAATTCATATTCATATTCAATATAAAAAAAATGAAAGCTACAATATAATATTATAATGGATAGTATTAATTCTAATGAATACAAAATAAATCATGTTCAAATGCATAAGGGCAATATGCCTAATTATTTTCATGTTATTGCCAATAACCAATACATGGTCAATATCAAATTTTTTTTATTTTTTTTAAGAAACACTAAAAACTATGGATTCATTGAATAATGTTTATATGGCTGCACCATAATAATATAAATGAAAGACATACATTTTTATATTCAATAAAATAATTAATAACTGTAATAATATTATTGATCTATACATCAGCATTACAACATAATTCTATAATATATAATATTAATTAAAAGAATTAGAATTAATAATAACATTAATAATTCATGAAAGACTACATTTGAAATATTCTGTTTAATAATGCTAATAATTAATAGTATTAATTCAGATTTATATTCAATATAAAAAATACATACTACAATATAATATTATAATGAACAGTATAATTTATTAATTAAAAATAAATCATGTTATACTTCTGGCTGATAACTATATGCTACTAATAATTGTCATGTTATGTCTAATAGCGGCAGATATTACAATTTAGTAGTTTTTTTTTTAATTAATTATCAAGAACTAAAAAAAATAAATACATAAAAAAAAAAATATTATGGATAATAAGAGAGTATTCCTTTTGAGATTTGCTAAATAATTATTTTTTTAAATAATGTTTATATGACTGCAACACAATAATGTGAATTAAAGAAATGAAAATAAAATCATTAAATTGTAATAATATTAATTAATATTCAATATTACAACAATATTCAAATACTGTACTATAATAATTAATAAGTACGAATGAATAATATTAATCAGTGAAGAAGAACTCAGATTTAACTATTATGATTAATAAATGTTAATGATTAAAAAATTGAATACTACAATATAATATTCTAATTAATAGCAATGATTATAATGAATAAAAATAAAATCATTACAATTCTGTAATGATAACAATATGCTGCTAATTATTTTCATATTATGGCCAATTAAACTATTATAAATGTAATTATTTACATTATCATTAACATGAATTAAACATAACTAAAGACATATTTGCCATATTTGCTTTGGCAAACATAGCTGAAATGTAATTCTGAAACTGAAAGTCCTTCATTCATTGAGTGGCTCAGTAAAACAATCACGCTGGAAGTGTCCAGGAAGATAAGTGTGGTGGTTAAAGCTAGTGATCGGTGACTAGTGTGAGTTCTGATCGACAGAGGCTTGATGGCTCACCTCTGGGGAAGGAGGAGGCGAGACAGAATGAGGAGACATTGATCTCTGGAGGAGACAAGGAGAGAAAACAGAACACACACATACTGTACATGCATCGTCTTCAACGTCTGACATCCAATGGCTCTGTGGCTCTTTAACACACACAAATGATTTCACATGCATAACAAAGCTCGACGAATAGCATTAAAGTTACACCTCACCATTATATCCAGCTTCCCGTTCGCCAAAACACATATACTGTATATTGATCCCACTTGAAGTGGAAGTTGTAAAACGTACATTAAAGCTTCTCAAATGCTTCCCGATGGTACAACGAAACAAAGACTCGATCTAAAGACACACTCGTTCTTTTCTGACCTCTCTGCTTCTGGAGTGACCTATCCGATCCAGGGCTGAGATATTGAAATGCGGCTCGTACACCATCAGATCTGGCCGTTCCACCTCAAGAATGGCTTTGTCTTTGGGAATGGCGGCCAAGTCTTTATATCCGATGACCTGATTGTCCATTCGTGCCTTTGGGGAGTTAGAAAGAGAGAGGCTGAGTGAAAGAAACGCTTGTCCTCTGAGATGCCTCACGGGGTTCCTGGGAACTGGGATGTGGAGCATGTGCTTTATGGCAGATAACAGAACGCATGTGTTATCTGTGAAACTGAAAGTTTTACTTACCACAATCGAGGTGGCTGGGGACCCAGGAGCACTTGGACCCTGGGAGGACGGGGCCGTCCCTGCCTGTGGCGGGAGAGCAGAGCAAAAAGGTCAGAGGTCATCATTTAACTGCTCCTATCCAGTGACATGTTGTTAATGAGAAATAAGATTTATAAGTAATGCCATCAATCAAACTGATGATGTGTGTCACTCAGCCATGCCCCCTTTCCATTCTCACTAAGTGAAAAAACCCACTGCAGATCTGATCATACTTTAATGGGTTTACTTTGACAGAAAGACAATATAGAGGTTAGTGTCCACATATGAGGAATTGAGAAAAGCTATATAAACATTATGGAAATTCTAGTGTTAGGAGATGGACGATTTTTGGCAAAAATGGCTTTAAGGTGAAATGAACTTGGAAAAAAATAAACAAATACAAATCAAGCATGATAGCATCCACATACATTACCTTCTGCATGACTGAGGTAAACTATAAAACTCCTTTCTTTGTTCTTCCAGTTACACAGATCTGCAAAAAAGCACAAAAGGCCAAACATGAATTCAAAAAATAAGCAAATTAATTTAAGTATTATAAATAATGAATTATTAGCTGGATATTTGGACATGCTAAATGACAATGCTAAAGCGGCGTTAAAGCTAACCACGTCTTTCTTCAAACAAAACAAAAAAAAACCTGACCTATTCTTTAATAAATACCTATTTATTCTCCCGTAAATAGTAAAATCTTCACAAATCTTGTTATATTTAGATATTTTAGGGGAAAACTCTATTTTGTAAAGTATTTTCCATACTAAGGGGTTAAGTATATCCGCTTTTACTTAGCAACCATCTATAAAACCATAGCAATTCTACAGCAGTGTGCTAAAAATGGCTCAGAACACCTTAGCAACCACAAAACAATGGCTTTGCAATCACACCACAACAACCCAGCATTGTGGTACCACTCATATTTTCTTCGGAAAATGTAAAAAGCAAGTTGGAAATGGAATATAACAATGGTCTTGTATGATCCTATGTTTTGATATAAATCTATGAAGGTAGAATGACGTCAAAAAGATTTGCATACGCAGGGTAAGAGTTGTGGAAGTGTACATAAGACTGTAAGCGTAAATTAAATTCTACCTTCATATAAATCACAGTTTTAGAAATACGAGAGCTGAAATGACAACATTGTGAAGATCTCACATTAGCAGACTATATCAGCGGAACGATCCTGAAATTCAGTCTGAGGCGATCCATTTGCTCAGCCTCCCACTGAGGGCGTTCAACACTCATTCAGCACTCAATACACGATACATGCATAACAAGCTTATTCCACACGCAGCTTCGATGAGTATCATTTGTTTTATGGTAGAAAGGTACCATAAAATGAATATTAAAGTCGATGTGGGTCATTTTTTCTGTTAAAATACTTTCTCCTATCTCAGTTTAATATGCAGAGACAACGTAAAGTTGATCCCAAGAACTGCTATTCTGTGTAGTGTTATTTATAGGCCTATATAATATACTGTAGCTGTAATATTTATTAATATTTCAATGAACCGCATGTTTTTGTCCATACTGGAAGAACTGACTGGTATCAATGTGAATAGCTGCTATCAGTATGAATAAATATGAAGGAGAACAGTTATACCATTCATCTGATCTCGTGTCTTTATGAAATTACATGTTAATTCATTAGATGCAGGGACGGCATCCTGTTAGTGTGGGGGGAGGGGAAGTGACATCATGATTGCTCACCCAATTTCACCATGAGCAGAGAATTGAGAACTGACCACAGTATTTATCAGGTTCCAGCATTAGAAAACATCAGACGAGTATACTCCGTACAGATGGTCTCGGGTTGGCAATGGTTAATGTGCTAATTAGAATTTCAGTCATTTCAATTTCATATAAGGATGAGCCTTGAATATTTCATGAAAAGAGCACAAGTAACACTCTCTGAGCGGGATACAAGCCGCAAGGCGTTTTGAATCCATTTCCTTGCATTAAAATAGTTGACAAAGATGCTTTTTTTTTTTTGCAAAAACAGCTTTTTGATTTGCTGGAGTTGGAAGTTCACTCAAGGTAATGCGAGAGGTTTTTTCGTTCTGCTTTGTTTTGACTGCTCATGCCTTGCTTCAGGGGAAAAGAGACTAAATGTCAAGGGAAATGCATTACATTTAAAAATCTGGGTCATATTTCATCTTAAAACAATTCAAATGCATAAAAAATAAAACTGTTGTACAATGGTTTTCTTGCATTGTTACACTATTTTAATGCACTCAAATTCTCAATACTGTAATAAAATTCAAATTTCAAAAATCCAATTTTAAAATAAAAATATTTTAAAAAATACTGATAAAATAGTTCAGTTTAATATGCAGAGACAACTATAAGTAAAGCCTTTTGTAAGTTGATCTCCATGAAAAGAGATTCTGTATCATGTTATTTAAGTATTATTTATATATACTATTATGGTATTTATTAATTTTTTTAATTATCTTTTACATTGACATTTTCAGTTTTCATTTAAATTTTAGCTGAAGATTTAATGGGCTTGTTATGTCATTTATTATTATTACTATTATTTATATTTAGCTTTTATTTATATCTATTTCAGTTTTAATAATTTTAGTAATTCAACTTATTTCAGTCAGTTGACAAGGCAATATTTCTTCACTTTTAACACTTTTTTTCCTTTACACAAAGCTTTGACACAAAAGGGCAGTGAGACAGAAATCTATTGGAGCACCAAACCTCCATCTTTTCCACCCTGGCCTGACCTCTGCTGGTTAGGAGGGTTAGCAATCAGCTCAGGTCAGGTTTACTCTGGCATGAAGGACGCAGCACCTCCTTACTGACATGATTGATCACCCTGAGAATACAATTTAAATGGTCTGTGTTTGAGATGAAGGGACCCATGTGCATCAAGCTGTCTGTAATTCAAGTTCAATCTGGCTAAGAAGAGTCCCTGAGCACCAGGCTCAAATAAAGTTTGATTTACTGGTCATTCACACGCTGAGAAGACAATTGAGCACTTCAATAATTACATGGCATCTGTGAGGATATTTTCATTTGTATGATTCTTACTATCTGGTTTCCTACTCTACAGCGATTTCATACATTTCATTGTGTTTTTCTGCTGTAGCTTGTGCTGTGGTGCACATTACAGGTAACCTTCGAATTGAGCCGTTTGCTGTTCCAGCAGGAATCTGATAGCACACATCACCTCAAAACACAGCAGAGACCAGAGCCGATTGTTTTTAGATTTGCTTTTACAATGAAGCACCACAACTGCAAATCTATCTGCCATCTTTTGGTGAAATACTCATAATGGTCAATGGTCAATATTGATGTTAACAAGTCTTAAGACAATGTCAAAAGACATTAACCAACATTATCGAAAAAATAAAGCAATAATATTATTTGACAGCACTAAAATATTACTAAATGATTGTTGTCTTTTGTGCTGAATTCATTTGGAATAACATGCCAGGAATAATAAGGAAAATATATCAGGAAAATAACAGTCTAAGTGGGACAGCCAGTCTTTTAACATTTATTCATGTGTTAATAAATGTCGTGGATCAAGGTGGAATTACTGTTGAATTTTAAAAATTGGATATTGTGATGATGTTTCAACAAACTACTTATACGAAGAATTCTGTCGAAAATTCTGTCATTAATTACTCACCCTCATGTCGTTCCAAACCCGTAAGACCTCCGTTCATCTTCGGAACACAAATTAAAATATTTTTTATGGAATCTGGTCGCCTAGGGCGCCACCAGCTGAAGGGGCACCAATGAGCGCACGTACTGGCACTTTTAGCAGGGTTGTGATAAAGAGTGGTTGCGTGTGCTGTTTTATGTCAGCTGTGCCATGCGGATACGCAGTTTACGTCGTTTACGCTTTGATTTGAACGAAAACAACGTATCCGCGTTAGGACGAATTGTTGAATAAAGTCTTCTTTTTTTTTTCTTTTGCGCTCAAAAAGGGTTTGGAGCGACATGAGGGTGAGTAATTAATGACAGAATTTTTGGGTGAAGTATCCCTTTAAAGGTTAAACTAGTAACTGCTAGGAATAGCACATCTTATCTGAGCCGTCGGTTGCGTCACCAGGGCAACGCTCTTCTCCGTCTGAAGCAAATTCTCCAAGCAACGCTGATGGATACAGGATCCATTACCTCTGTGAGGCCTTGCTGCTCCACTGGGAGCGTGATGTGAGGAGCTGAGGAGCTGGGGTGCTTGTGTTTCTGGCTTGACATAAACAGCCTGAGGAAGCCTTCCTCTTGAAGATCTCTCATGATAGAACAATGGCCATGCTGCACCCTTCCTAACTCCTCCCCATCACTTCTGATGTGCTGCACGTGGTCGGGCAGCCATGTTTCTTTATTCCAGACTCAGCTTCATTCCGCATGTAGTGCTATCCAGGTCATAAGCCTGGGGGTTAAGCAGAGCTCTGGATTGTCTTGCCTAGTTCAGTGATCTTCACAAGCTTGTGAAGTTCAGACCAGCGGAGAGACTGACTGCTGGATTTGTTCAATCAGATTAGTGTTCCATTGATTAAACCTGCTATGCTTCCCACTCTTAGTGAATCACTGAACAGCAATCCCAATGACAGGAGGAGACATCAATGGCCGGAAAGTGCATTATAACAACTCCATCACTTTTTTCCCCACACAAAGTATTACAGCCTGTTTTGCAGTTTTAGGACAGAAAAGAACAGAAACAAAACAGAATGGAATATGACAGATTAGAATAGAGCAGAATATAACAGGAAAGATTATAACAGAAAAGAACAGAATAGAAGTGAAGTGACATGTGGCCAAGTACGGTGACCCATACTTGGAATTAGTGCTCTGCATTTATCCCATCCAAAGTGCACACACACACTGTGAACACACACCCAGAGCATTTTTTTTTCTTTTGCGCTCAAAAAGGGTTTGGAGCGACATGAGGGTGAGTAATTAATGACAGAATTTTTGGGTGAAGTATCCCTTTAACTATATTCATCATTGTTAATGTTAACTAATGAAATTAAGTAATGTTAACAAATGAAACCTTAATAAATACAATTAAATAAAAATAAGCAACACCTTATGTTAACTTTTAACCAACCTATAGATAAAATAAGGAAAATTAAAAATAATAAGCAACAACAAAATATACTTAATGGTGACTGGCAGACTTTAACATGCTGCTGCATCCATACACTTATCATTTGTAGAAGAGCTTAAAATTAATCTATTCCATTGTATTATTGTACTTACAGTATTTACTGAGAACATAATAACGGCATGTATGTCAATAGCAGTATAAAAAATATGTACTACCACAAAACATGCTGATTAACCAGAGAGAAGCTTGTGATCTACCATTACTAACATTCCTCTAAAACAGCACAGTGTGTCAGACTGGGATTAATGGACCTGCTTCAAGGCAAGCATTAGAGAAAACAGTGCGTGTTAATAAGGAAGCAAGGCAGCGCACTCATGAGATCCAGAGAAAGTCCTTATCTCCAATCAGACAGGGAGTTTTAGCATGCATGAGTAAGCAGTCAGGGTTCTTATTCATATAAGTATGATTCTTATTCACTGCAAAGAAATCAGTTTCTTAATCAGTATGTGTGTTGTGTATCAGTCACTAAAGTAAATTACTCTTGTTTTATGGATGTTTAGATGGATTTTCACTGGAAGACAAGACAAAAATACTGATATGAAAATGATTCTTTGGTTGGACATTAGAAAGCTTTCATATTGAGGCAAAATTACCATCTTCTAGGACCATTAAAACACACTTCCAAGCACAGCATAGTCACACAAGTATGATACAACTAGAAATTTAAATAAATAATTATATTGCTTATTTAAGTCATAAACTGCACAGGAACAAGCACCAAGAATCCATAACTTCATTAAAAAAAAAATAATAATTTAAGGAAGGGATCACAAAACCAACCGTTATCAGTCTGAAAGGAAACAGTCATTTGGAGGCAAAACAAGCCACAATACACACCAAGATTTCACCTCAGCTCCAGCTCTGTGACGAAGAGGAAATCCTACGCTGAGAGATCCAGACTTCCTGTCATCCCACTCCCGTTCTCCCCAGTCCTTGTCGTCTCTCTCTCTCTCTACACGCTGCCTTGAAGACCCCACCCACTTCTCTCTCCACCCAAACTGAAATGCACTTATCTCAGTCAGCAGACCAAGAGCAGCCAACGCCCAATCAGACCCGTCGGTTGCGTCACCAGGGCAACGCTCTTCTCCGTCTGAAGCAAATTCTCCAAGCAACGCTGATGGATACAGGATCCATTACCTCTGTGAGGCCTTGCTGCTCCACTGGGAGCGTGATGTGAGGAGCTGAGGAGCTGGGGTGCTTGTGTTTCTGGCTTGACATAAACAGCCTGAGGAAGCCTTCCTCTTGAAGATCTCTCATGATAGAACAATGGCCATGCTGCACCCTTCCTAACTCCTCCCCATCACTTCTGATGTGCTGCACGTGGTCGGGCAGCCATGTTTCTTTATTCCAGACTCAGCTTCATTCCGCATGTAGTGCTATCCAGGTCATAAGCCTGGGGGTTAAGCAGAGCTCTGGATTGTCTTGCCTAGTTCAGTGATCTTCACAAGCTTGTGAAGTTCAGACCAGCGGAGAGACTGACTGCTGGATTTGTTCAATCAGATTAGTGTTCCATTGATTAAACCTGCTATGCTTCCCACTCTTAGTGAATCACTGAACAGCAATCCCAATGACAGGAGGAGACATCAATGGCCGGAAAGTGCATTATAACAACTCCATCACTTTTTTCCCCACACAAAGTATTACAGCCTGTTTTGCAGTTTTAGGACAGAAAAGAACAGAAACAAAACAGAATGGAATATGACAGATTAGAATAGAGCAGAATATAACAGGAAAGATTATAACAGAAAAGAACAGAATAGAAGTGAAGTGACATGTGGCCAAGTACGGTGACCCATACTTGGAATTAGTGCTCTGCATTTATCCCATCCAAAGTGCACACACACACTGTGAACACACACCCAGAGCAGTGGGCAGCAATTTTTTTGCTGCGACGCCCGGGGAGCAGTTGGGGGCTGCTCCCCTTGGGCCTTGCTCACCTCAGTCGTGGTATTGAAGGTGGGAGAGACCGCTGTACATTCACTCCCCCCACCTACAATCCCTGCCAGTACGAGACTCAAACCCACAACCTTTGGGTTACGAGTCTGACTCTCTAACCATTAGGCCACGACTTCCACACTAGAATGGAATAGTCCAGTCCTAGAATAGAACAGAACAGAATAGTCCTAAAAAACTGTGAAATTGAATAGAATAGAATATGACAGGAATTAATAGAATATGGCAGAATAGTTCTGTCTTAAAAACGGCAAAATATAATAGAAAACAACAGAATAGAGCATGACAGGAAGGAATAAAAAATATGACAGAAAAGAACAAAAGATAAGGGAATAGCTCTATACCAGACAGGAAGAAACGACTGGACTAGAATAGAATAGTCCTGTCCTAAAAACTCTAAAATAAAATTATGATGTCAGGAAAAAATATAATATGACAGAATTGAATAGAAGGCAATTGATCTAGACCAGACAGGAAAGAATAGATCAGAACGGAATAGAATAGAATATAATAGAGAAGAAAAAATTATGATAGAATAGTCCTTTTCTAAAATTGTAAAATTTAATATAATAGAATATGACAGGAATGAATATAATATAGCAGAAAAGAAAAATTCCTAAATAGTCCTAAAAACGGCAAAATAAATCGAAGAGAATATGAGTGGAAAGAACAGAATTTAACAAAATAGAATTTTTAAAAAATAGAAGGGAAGGGAATCGATCTAAACCAGACAGAAAAGAATAGAATAGTCCTGAAAATGGCAAAATCAGATTGACAGGAATTAATAGAATATAGCAAAACAGAATAGTCCTATCCTAAAAACGGCTAAATAAAATAGAGTAGAATACAATAGAGTAGAGTATGAAAGAATAGAACAGAATATAAGAATAATGACAAGAATTAATAAAGAATAACAGGACATGACAGAATAGAATAGAATAGTCCTGTCCTAAATAGGGTCAAATTAAATAGAATAGAAAAATAGAATAGAATAGATCTAGACCAGACATTAAGAATAGGCTACACTAGATTAGAATAGCCCTAAAAATGGCAAAATAGAATTATTATGACAGGGAATATTAGAATGTGGCAGAATAAAATGAATAGAATAGATATAAACCAGACAGAATAGTATTGAATAGTCCTAAAACTGCAAAATGGAATAGAATAGAATAGAACACAACACAACACAACACAGGATAGAAATTACATTTTACTTTAGCATTGATGTTCCATGTAAATCCAATCTAAGTGAAACAGTGCAGGAAGGGGAGGTCATCTGCTGTAACTTGATTTATAATATCAAACAGACATTCAGACTGTTTCAAAGTTTCATTATGCACCGTCACTACTCATCTTCATATATTTCAGTACTAAATAGTCTCTCAAATGCCATGGGGAATTCAAAATAAATGCACAGCAATATTTAGCTACAGGTGGACATATCAGAAGGAAATATAACATTGAGAGAGTGAAGAATCTCTGGATCAAGACGTCACCATATGACTCTTTGCTCCTTATCTGATGATGAGAAAGTCTTTTCACTGCCACCATTAATGCTGTCAACTCAGAGTGTGATCATGAGGAAATGTTTTTGTTTTTGTCTGCAGTCATTCCTTTGATGAATATTTCAACAAATATGAAAAAAATCTAATTATAAGTCTATAATAATAATAATAATAACAGTATATTTAATTTATTTAGCCTTATAATAACACACACACACACACACACACACACACACACACACACACACACAAAACAAACAAGTGTTGCTCAACGGAGAAACTGCAGGACTGAAGGAAGCAGTAGTTTCCTGTTGCTTTGGACAGGAAAACAATGAGACTTTCTGTTTTCCTTTCCTTTCGTTTCTTTCTTTCTTTTTTTTTTATCTCTATGTTATTTCGGGACGCTAGAAAGGCACGAGTAAAATGTAATTCGCTAATAAATCAAATAAAAACGTTTATATACGTGCGAAATTTAACTGAATCATAATACATGCAAACTGCGTAAATAATGTTAATTATATGACTCGAGTCATGAATAATAACGCGTAGGCTACAGGACAGTTAAAGGACAGGCCCATACAGCGCACATTCCTTATTTTAGGTCTTAAGATTTTGTAGAAGGTTATGTGGCCTAAGGACACATTTTATTTTCTAGTCGGGCATTTTAAACCAAGGTTCGACATTTTCAAATAAAGCTATAATTGTCCTCTAGAGCTCGCGAGACTCTTCTGTGCATGTAGAAGGACAAGTGTCTGGTGGTGCCTCTGTATACCACAATACCTCTACTGATGCTTATGATCGACTACGGAAAAGAACATTAACAAATACATCCATCAATACACCATTAGGTACACCAAACAGCAGCAAACGATGACCGCAAATCCATACACGTCAATAACTTGACCATATTGTCCGCTCATCCTCCACTGCATCCCAGCTATGTGACGAGAAATAAACATGTGGCCTAATCGTACCTGAGACTGTAAAACAGCGGTTTATTCGGTCCTTTCCGTCCGGAGATGCAGAAATTCAAAAGTCTCTCAAACACTCACTCAAGATCATTGCGTGCATCACGCGTTCATATGCCTGTGCCACATTGGCCGCGTCTCAAACACTAGTGAGCTGCCTACCTAGACAGCATTTTGAGCATCATAGTCGCTTTCGGCGTCAGCTGACTCGGAACGCGTTTATAATCCCAAAAATGCGCTCTGTAGCTTTTGTGAAGGAAATGTGCGAAGGAAATGTTAAACATTTTTTTACAGTGAATGGCCAACCAATGAGAGAAAATAGGAGTAAAACAGCTGTTTTGGGACCGTCCTGTTCCTCTCACTATGCCCTTATTCCTCCCTAGAATACAGACTCTCTGTCAGCATGTGTGGGTGAATTAAGGGGGATTGGGACAGTTTTTGAATTTCCGACATGAGCAAGGTTTCTTGCCATAAACGAAAAACATCAGCCGAACACATTATATATATTTCTGTAATACTGAAGATGTTAACTATTTGAGGAGGAAACAATATTATGATGAAAGGATACGTGAAGTACACTTTTCTGTAAACTGAGCCAAAAAATTTTTTTTTGGTAACATTTGGGTGATTGGGATAGCACATTTTTTTCATTAATTTAGGGTAGTGTAAGAATATTTACTGTATTGCACAAGTTAGTTCATACTTTAATATAATTGTATATGTAATATTTCATTTTCTGTTCATCATTATTAAGAGCCCATTCTGTTCAACTTTATTTCTCACTTCATAAATCCATCGAAAATTCATACAACACAACACAACACAACACAACACAACACAACACAACACAACACAACACAACACAACACAACACAACACAACACAACACAACACAACACAACACAACACAACACAACACAACACAACACAACACAACACAACACAACACATGTAACTGAGTTAAAAGAAGGCTTGAAGTCCAAAAGTCATTGAAAACAGTTAAAAATCAAATATTAGACAAGTAAAAAAAAAATGCTTCAGGTCCAAAAAAAAAAAAAAAAAAAAAAGG